TGTCAGAAGCGTAGTTGCGCAGCGCCACTTTGTGGACCGGGGTATTTCTGTTTTACATTAAGCGCCATCTAATGTCAGGGAATGAATTTGCGTGTTCACTCGGCTCATCGTCAGCGAAAATCGCTTGGGTGTGAACACAAAAAACGCGTTGAAAAACGCTGACGAATAACGCGAGCCGATATTCGTCCCGGTGTGTACAGGCCTTAAGAAGCAATACTTCTGACAATAGTTTCTCAAAGCAACTGTTTGCTGTGTGTGTGTGTGTGAGATTGAGTCAGAGTGTGAGTGTGTCCATGCTGCGTCCGTCTCTGCCAAACTGACAAAGTGACTCCAGCCGCTCTCCTCCGGCAAGCTGCTGCGGTACATGGTGAACAAAACACACCAATCTCCACAAGCGGCCAGCTCTCCCTCCCGCGCATTCTCCATCCGTACTGCACCACCTAATGCTGCCCACGTCTCGGACCACGTGCCGGGGCCCAGGCTGCGCTGTAGCGGCTGTGGGCGCTCGTGCCCAGGCGAGCTGGTGCCGCTTGGAGTGCCCGGCGTGTGCTGGAACGCGACAGCCCGCTGGTCCCAGGGCACCCATCACATGCCCATCTTTAAGCCATCTGCAAAGTAGAGCAGTTCCCGCCAAAGCATTAAATTAAATCCTTGTTTGGGCTGATTAACAAATGGCCTTGTTTTTTTGTGTTCCGTGGGCTTGTTTTTTCCTCCTGTCCTGCTGAAGCTCCATCACGTCGGAATGAGTGTGGCAGAGGCAGCGAGCCTTCGGGAAGTCTCAGGAGTGGCTCGGATGTTTTGGGGGGAAGTTTGCTCAGGATCGCGTCTGTCTCGAAAGTGGCCCGTCCAATTCTTCGTCCCACAGCCATCAGGCTGTCACAGACCACAGACAAATGAACAATTAATCTGGGCTTGTAATTGAATGGCACCCAGTATGATATTTTAATTGTTCAATTGGAGCTGTTTGGATTCAGAACTTAATTGGAATGGGGCGGGAGGGACTGGATGTCCTGTTGCATATTTGCCGGCGATCGCTCAGGTATTACCTGCAAGCTTTTTAGTCAGCGAAAGTGTATCGTTATGCAGTTTCGTACGCTCTAACCAAGAGTATTCATTGAACAGTCAACCAAAGTGGTTATCTGAAAGTCTAAGGTGCACGACCCTGGTGCTTGGTAATAATGGTAACCAATAGGACTGCTCACTTTGACCAAACGCTCTGGAAACTTGAGGGTAGAAGCATCACTAGCGCCTGCCAGACCAACTGTCCGCCTACTGTTTTGGATCTAAAGAAGCAAATTTCACGATTGAGAAGCCAGTAAAAATGGCTTGATGAAACAGCACTGGCTGGGTTCGAGCGACATTTGCTTTTAGTCACGCAGCCCCTTCTGTTCAACCCCTGGCTCTGTCAGCGGCACACTGATTCTGCTCTACGCTGGTTAACAAGACACCATGGCTGATCCAGAATCAGACTGTTGATTAATATCTTTGCTTTGCGTTTGTTCATAACTGATCCACCAGTGTTGGGGAAAGTTACTGAAAAGTAATGCATTACAATATTGCGTTACTCCCTTAAAAGTAACTAATTTACTTTCTCACCATAAGTGAAATAATAAGCCTCAGGTTTAAGGAAATGCAAAAACACGCATGTATAGTAGAGGGCGCAGCTCAAACAAACTTCCGGCTGTGCTGCCATTCTGGATAACGGAAGAATAGGATGCAGGGGGAAAAAAAGTTCAACACTTACTTTACCAATAAAAACAAAAAAAATCTCAAGTCATTTTTGCTAATGGTTTAACTGAATCATCAAGGTCAGAAGCAAGTACATTGGTCAATAAAGTGAGATTAAATGCATAAAAAATTATGTTTTATTTAGCCTAACATATTGAGTTATTGGAGTTTTGCGTAGTTTTCTGATTCTGCATTTCACTGATTTTATTCATTTTGAGGAATATTGAATCTTTTTTGTGCAAGTGAGATGAGTAAATGCACGCTCACATTTAGTCTAGAACTACTACAATAACCATCATGTTTGCACACAACACCTCTGCACTTCGATCTCTCTCAACATTAGGACAAGAGAGCTGTCAGTTAATAAATGGGAAAACAAAATAACTTGCATTACTTATTTGAAAAAGTAACTCTTTAAATTAAATTAAGTATTACATTTTAAAATAATGTGTTTCTTTACTAGTTACTTGAAAAAGTAATCTGAAGTTACTTGTAATGAGTAACACTAGGTATAATGTTGTGTGTGACAGTTTAGAGAAGATGAGAGTTTTTTAGTATATTACTAATTAGTAATTAGTATATTATATATTGTAGTATTTTTAAAAATTCTATTCTATTATTTTTAAAATATTATTATATTTTATATTGCTATACATTATTAGGTTATTATTTAAAAAACATCAACTTTTGCTACTTTTTATTTGTCAGAAAAAGAAAATGAAAAGGGGGGAAATGGAATCAGGACATGACACAGGCTGGATTCGAACCTGCGTTTCCCGTATGAGTACCACACAGCATGCCTTTCTAATCGATAAATATGAAGCTAAATCTTTAAAAAATGATCAAGCCCTCTTACTAAAGTTTTATCTGTAGAGAAAATAATATGGTCAGTGACAGATAAATGTATGTAGGATCACTCTGACGACCATCACAGCCCACTTTTATCCTTCATCCCTTTTCCCTTCTTCATTTGTACCTCTTGATTGGAAGGCGGATGCCTCTGTTCAGCTGTTCCCTCCTACCCAGTGATTTCTCTTCCTCGTTGAGGCATACCGGCAAAGACCTCCGTCTCCTCAAATTAACATGAGCAGGTGTTTTTCTCTGATGTGTTAATTAGGAGAAGCTGGTGTCATTATGCTTTAAGTGGATGTTACAAATAGAACATGTTGTTTATTTTCTCTTCTGCTGAAAAAAGTGATCAGAGCTGTCACGAGGCTCATGTGTCACTTAGAGAAGATCGTGGCTAATTACCAGGAGTTCAGAATCTGAAAGTACATGTCTGCGGATTCTCCTGCGTCTGCGCTTGAACGAATACCAGATTGTCGATCTTAATAAATACTATCAGCAAGAACAGATTTAAACAGAGTCCTGAGGTTAGATTCAGCATATTTCTTTTTTTGTCGGAGGATTGCATTGCTTTATGGCTTAAATAATAACAAAAGTAGGATGTGTTTTCTGTTTTGATGTCCACCAATTTACATCATTTGAAAACTTTTGCCTTATTTGTAAGGACAATGGTGAAGACACATGCTGAAGAAAAATGTAACACATTTTCTAGAACAAAAAACAGATCTATTGGACCATTAAATTAATTTATTTAATAATTGTTTGTTAATAATGACTAAAGACTCTTTTTCTGTGAACAACTTCAACTTTGCTCAACTACTGCAATGTTTGGAATATGGAGTACATGTTATATGGACTACTTTTATAGTGGAAATTTTGAACAACACAATGAAGAAAATGATGATTTTTTTTTTGGTATAAATGCATTATATGTTATATTTACTGTAACACTTCATTTCAGTGGTTCACTTTAGACATTTTACTAGCTATAAGTAACTTTGCAACTACATGTTAACTAGCGGTCATCAGAGTATTAGTAGACTGTCTGCTTAATATCTGTTAACACTTTATTTTAATGCTCCCCAACAGACATTCTATGAGTGACTTTGCAACTACGTGTCAACTTACTGTATTCTACTAACCCTAACACCTAACAGTCTACTAATACTCTGATGAGAGTTACTTGACATGTAGTTGCAAAGTTAGTTATAGTTAGTAGAATATCTAAAGTGGACCATAGAAATAGAGAAATAGAAATTCTTGTTTCCTTTTGTGTTTACCTCATGGTGCGATTATGACCACATAACAGACGAAATTAAATTTATTTCTATCTTTTCAAAAAATATCAATTGAACATGAACTTTCCATTGTTAAATGCACGACATTGTAAATGAACAAGTCAGTTTGGTTCCAGCATCCAGCATGCATCACTCAGCAGGCAGATGTTATGTGCATTATCACTCTTGAAGCCTGTTATTGGACCGTGTGTGCGTGCGGCTTTGCCCCCTGCGTGGTGATGCTGACACCCTTGTAATCCTGCTGTTTATTATTAGATGGCACAGGCTGTTGCACCAGAAGTTTTGCATGATAATATGGCATGACCAGCTGCTCAGCAGATGTTGTTTTTTGCGGCTTTAGCATAGGAAGGTTAAAGGTGTTTCTGCTGCCCCTTGTGAGGATTCTCTGACCCCCTGCATAGTGCGTTTCCGCTCACGTTTTACTGTAAGCCGACCTGGTGACACTGGCTTTAGTTTGGGCTGTTCTTACACCTGCCCTCGGATTTAGGCAGATAATGCAGTAGCTGACAGCTGGACTAGCAGTGGTAAACATGTTAACATTTTAATCCTGTGATTAGTCAAATGCAGTCAAAATGAAGTCAATTCAAGCGCCGTCTAATCGTGATCATTCTGTGTGTTTGGGATGTTAATCTTGATATGAATGCATGTAGTTTGCCTCTACCCAAAACAATGAATTAATGTTTTTTTTTAACGGGTAATTTTTTTTCTCTCCAATTCTATGTACAGTAAAGAAAGCAAGGCGAGTTTATTTATTGTAATATGGCAATTCAAAGTGCTTTATAGAAAATAATAAAAATAATCACAAAATTAAAGCAAGGAAAATTAAAACAGTTATAAAAGAAATAAAAAGAGATATATGATACAGTTATGAAATGAATTAAAAGAGTAAAAAGATGATACATAGATAAACTTCTCATCTGGCATAACACCGGTGTAACGTATTTTTCTCAACTCCCGGTTTTACTCTGAGATTTTCCTATGGTGATTACACTATGTCTGTAGTATGAAAAGAAAAGAAAGTATGAATGTGAGGTTGAGTTTTTAGTGTGCATGTATTTGCATAAGTAGTTTGGGTCATGTGTTTTACTCTTTGCATTTTAAATGTACATTTATTTTTTTCCCTCAGGTGAATATATTAAGAATTGGAGACCTCGCTACTTCCTGCTAAAAACCGATGGGTCCTTTATTGGATACAAGGAGAAGCCACAGGATGCAGATCTTCCCTACCCTCTCAATAACTTCTCTGTTGCAAGTAAGTGATGCCTTCAAAGCAAAACGAGTACGATTTTGTTAATTCTTTATCTTTTGTGAGGCAACAGAGAGGTAAATCTCCATGAAATCTGTATTGCATTTAAAATGAAATCCATATACTAATGTGACAGTCTAAAAATTCAGATTCACACAATGTGTCTTTGAATGGTCAATGGTTGGGGTAATTTCTCTCTTTATTTGTCATGAAGTCAAATTATAGTTAGTCCTAATTTTGAATTCTCTCTCAAAATTAGAATAAAACAGGCTGTTTTTTTGCAATGACCTTTGTTATGAGGCAAAGCCTGTTGTACATTTGAGAAGGCTCACAAAACAAGTGCAGAAACAACTCAAACTGTTAAGGCAGGTCTAGAATGATCAGGGACTCTAGTGAAAATAAACTTCAGCTTGTTTCTAATGTTGGATCCTTGAGGATGTGCAAAGAATGTGTTTAATATGAGACATAATGCTTTGCAGTCATTCACAGTTCCGTTTCACCTCATTCTTCTTAAGTTTGAGTTTTTAAAATAATTTTTCAGGGCACTGGAGTAAAAGCATCAAATGCAGTGACTTATTTCCTCTGAAACGCAACTCGAACTCAAGCGCGCTACGTTGTGGATTTCCAGCTTTCAGCGCTGGTTTCTGGACACGTGCTACGAGCGGCTCCCAAACCCTTCATCCGTCAAAAGGCCCAGCCAGATTTTAATCTAAAGGCTGGAGGAGCGAGAGGTGGCCATACATCCGGCCTGGGCCTGTTGGCAGTGGGAGAGGATTGCCACATCTGTTGCAGAAAGCTGGGAGGCCAGGTGGTGCTGGGAGGCTGATAGCCTAATGCTCTCTCTGAAATGGCATCGCTCTCACCCCCTGTGCAATGAGCTGCCACCAGAATGCCTTCCTCCGTCCCGCTCTCACCGAGTCCTGTACACAGCCTGACCAGCCCTGCATCTGCTGCCTAGTACGCCACACTCCATATTGACCAATTTGTCTTTTTTAACAATGATTGCAGCACATGACAAATTGCTTTGCACAGTGAAATCCACCAATTTGGAAACACGACGCTATGAGTACAGGTGGATTTTTTGAAGGAAGAACAGGACATTTTTACTTCTACATAAACATTAAAAGATTAATGACATGACATTTTTTGTTACTTTCTGTTACAAAAAAACCCCCAGTAATATTGTTAAATATTATTACAATTTAAAATAACTGTTTTCTACTTGAAGGTAATTTATTCCTGTGTTTTTAAGCATCATTACTCCAGTCTTCAGTGTCACATGAGCCTTCTGTAATCATTCTAATATGCTAATTTGATGCTCAAAAACATTCATTTTTATCAAAACAATTTTTTTTCAGGATTCTTTGATGAATAGAAAGTTCTATTTTAATGCATCCTTACTGAATACAAGTATTGATTTCTTTAATCTAAAGTATCCCCCCCCCCCCCTCCCAAAAAGAAAAATTCTTACTGACCCCAAACTTTTGATAAATTACATTTTAAAATATATATATAAAAAAACAGTTATTTAAATTGTAATAGTTTTTCACAGTATTACTGGTTTTACTGTATTTTTGATCAAATAAATGCAGCCTTGGTGAGCATAAAGGTTTTCTTTCAAAAACTTTTAAAAACCTTTTAGACCCCAAACTTTTGAACAGTAGTGTACAATATCTATATTCAAGTGTAAAGAAAATATAAAACTTTTGTTAAAAATGGTATTAAAGTTTTTGAGTACATTTCTAAGAACTTGACACACGTTTAAACTAGATTTTTTGGAAACTTTCAATTGTTCTTAACCCTGAATTCACTTCAAGAACTTCAAGCCAGTTCTCGCTCACAGGTCACAGAAATAGGGCTGACTGCTATATTTTGTCTCCTGATGTTTTTGTGCGTTGGCACCCTCTCAACCTTATTTTGGACTTGAGAAAACCTTTAAGAGATGTTGCATGGTGGGAGCAGCAGAAATTGTAGATTCTGGGCTTTTTAATTGGCATGCTAGCTTTCCTTAGCGACTCTTACTTGAAGCAGTATTCGTCATCTGTGATCTAATGTGGCAAAGCAAACAATACTGTCAGATCTGCCTCCTCTCCTCCTGAGGTGTCACATTCTGGCTGCCGTGACCTTGTTTTTATGCACTCAGCGTGGGACTCAATTTTCCCTCTACTGCCCAGGTAGACGTTCTGTACAGAGCATGGCTTCGTGACCTTAGCGATGTCGTCATTAACCTTTCAGTCTAAATTTAGGCCCTGATGTCATTCAGAGGTGGCTGAAATTGGCCAGCTGAGGGCCCTCATTATGGGACTGGCAGCCCAGGCCGCTGTTGCGTTTCACCTGTCGTCTGGGCATTGCCCCCAAATTCTGCAGCGGTGATGAGCCCAGTCAGGACGTCACATCTATTCCCTGCTACTTTCATAAAGTATCCGAGAAGTGCATTATTTCCCTCTGACTGAGCAGTGGCTGATGTGGCAGAGCTAAGCGTTGTATATCAAATGGTGCGCGGCATTCCAGAAAATGTACCTCTTACTCATTCATCTCACCGTTGCACTCTCCCACCCGCTGCCTCCTCTCTGCTAATGGCCATTTGTTTTACATTGGACTCGCTGCTTCCCCTCTGTTTATCAAATAAAACACTGACAATGGCTAACAGTGTTAGGAAATGGGCTGAGCTTAGAATTCAGGTCAGCTTTCTCCCTGCCTGTGATTTAAGTCTATATTTATTTAGTGCGTAATACTGCGTATGTTTAGATTTTTTGTATTGTATACATGAAATATAAAGTGGCTACAGTTTTTTTTTTTTTTTTTTTTTGTCTGTCATTCCAGAATGCCAGCTGATGAAAACTGAACGACCAAAGCCGAACACTTTTATTATTAGATGTCTACAATGGACTACAGTCATAGAGAGGACCTTCCATGTGGACACGCCAGAAGAGAGGTGAGAACGCTCTCTAATGTACTGTAGAAAACACAACTATTAACAGCTTCATTTTAGAGGTTATGACTGTGTTCAAATACATTCATTTAGTTTATTTATAATGTAGTGTATTTATAATGTGTATTAATTTTCACTAATTAATCATTCAGTAATCCTTAAATCAGTGGTTTTCATCTGATTTTGCCATGGGAACCACATTTTTCGTTGGTCATTGAGCCACAACCCACTTTTTTTAGAAATTTGAACAAAGCTAATTCATTTCTCAAAAAAGGTTAACAGTCCCACTTAACATACACATAAATTGTGTATATATATTGTGAATTTCACTAACGCTGATGAATAAACGGTAATTAAATAGCAGTCCTAAACTAGTTAGTAAGTTGAGCCACCACAGTCATCAAAAATATAGAATTGGTGGTATATTGGGTTACATAAACTACAGTTACCATGGTAAATGCACATGAACTGTTAAAAACATATGGACACTGGTCCTGATGAATAAAATGAAAATCATACCTGCATGCAAATGCTTCCCGGCTAACACAAGATATAGCCCTTATGTGATCTACTGGTACTTTTTGGAATTTTGGAAATTGACACCGTAACTACTGTTGGATGTTGGATGCTCTTAATTTTGACAAAAAACCCCCCCAAAAAAACACATTCTCTGTGAACCAGCCCTTACAAGTTACAAAAATAACGTTAGAATAATGACTCTGACATATAGCCTGACATCATCTCATCTGACAGTAGATCCTGAATCAGGTCAATGCGAGATGCAGGTCAGTGGAGCGGAACACCACAATGTTTTGCGATGTTGATTAGTGACTTTACGCTGACAGTCGAGTCCTCTTTTAGTTTCTTTTATTCAGGTGGCTGACTAATATGCTTTTTTTTTCATTTGAAGTGCAAAAAAACTACACAACCTTTAGGAGGGTTTACGCAGAAGATATGACCAGACACTGAGCAATTTATTCTTGCACTCCTAACTTGTCTATCTATCACAGGGCATTGCAGTCCACTGCACACTTTGTTTACCCCACACACACACACAGCTCTGAACAGGAGTGGGACACGGCGTACTGGCAGAGGCCCAGAAACTGCAGGCCTACATGCGAGGAGGAGAGATATGGCGGCAGCTGGCATAACGCCAGACTGTATTCAAAGCCTTTATCTCTCATTAGCAAAAACCGCTCATTATACACCAAACCACTCCACACCCATTTATCCACACGACCTTGAAAGGATGCACGGGGCCCTTCGTATATGCTACTGTGTTAACCCAAAGGATCTTGAATTTACCTTGGGCTTTCAAATGCACCACGACTGGTATGTAATATTCAACTTCCACTGAAAAAAAAGTGCCCGAATATGAGTGGAAATCCATACATTATGTTGATAATGAATATTTCAATCACTTATTCATCATTTTGAGGGTTTCCCACTAACCAATGGGAATGCACAAGAGCGGAAGTTTTCAGACTCTGCCCAGTAGGATTAGATCCAATACCAATATTTTTGCTTTGGTACAATACCAGCCACTGATGCCGCTGTATTCAATTCAATTCACATTTATTTGTATAGCGCTTTTCACAATACATATTGTTTCAAAGCAGCTTTACAGAAAATGCATGTACAATTTAGAGTGATCTGTTATCAAGTTATGTATTTCAGAAATATACATATACAAATCACACAGTTAGCTTATTAGCTATACAGTTAGCTATACAGTTAGCTTAAGGTATTCCCCCTTCCATGTGAAGCGCTTTGAGTGCCTAGAAAAGCGCTATATAAATGTAATGAATTATTAATTATTATTATTATAATTATAATGTATTCATTTAAAGAATGTATTACTTTAAGGCAGAGACAATGAGTTCATTGAATTAATGAATACATGTTTGTTAACAAATTAAATGATTAGGATATATAGAAATAAAAATCTAGCATTGGTGCATGTTGATTTAGAGCTTGCTGTACAATATTAAATCATTACCTTATGCAACAAATGAAAAAAAAACCTTGGCCTACTGATTAAATGAAACTGTTGCTGTCAATAGATTAAATAAAACATAAATATACTATATATGCATATTATATATTATTTATGTAATAATACCTGTATATAAGTATCATAATTAAATTTTTTGTTAAAACAATATAATGTTCATCAGTTCACTTTGGATGACACTACTATTCAAAAGTGTAGGGTTGGTAAGATTCTATTATTCATTCTATTATGCTGATTTGGTGCTCAAGAACATTTCTTATTATTATTATTATTAACGTTGAAAACAGTCACACTTTTTTCCCAGAATTCAATAGGTTTATAAGAACTTTATATACCGGTAAATGTTTTGTAACAAGTCTTTACTGTCACTTTTGATGCACAATTTAATGCATTCTTGCCGCATAAAAAGTATTAATATTTCTTTCTTTTTTTATCATAACTTTTAAACAGTAGTGTATGTGCATATGTATCTACATATCAGTGTTTCCTACAAAAGGCAATTCTTGTAACTGAGGAGTTCCTCTAAACTCCTCCAAATAGACCAGCATAACTAGACTGGGCAGGGTGGAAAACCAGATAACTAACTTAAACTGGGTTAAGCTGTTTTTCCAGCTCGGCGGACTGCCAAAATGTGCTGAATAGTGGCACGTTGTTGTTCAAACCAAGCACCAAAATGTGCTAAATTACAATATTATTATATACCACTGTAAATTTGTAGTACTGCGGTACAGAGTATACCAGTAGACCACGCATCCGTACTCTCTGGTTCAGTCCAGTGCTGTGAAACAGTGAGAAACCGCTAGTTTCGCTCAAATGAATCCATCATTATTAAACTAACACATGCTCAAAAACATGAATGCACCACTGATTCTTCACAACAGATGTTGTGCTGCACGACAAATGAAAACTCAATGGAGGGAGACACTCGTTCGCAGAAAGGGGTGGCTTCCCCACTCAAATTAGATTATACTGTCAGCCAGTGAGAACGGCCTTGTGATTTACTCAGATGATCTGGCCTAATGTCTTCAACAAAGTGAAAAAGTCAAGTTTATGTTTCAGTTTACATTTATAACTGAACCACTTGTTTGTTTAGTGTGTCTCAAGAGTATTCTTGAAGTATGAAGCAGTGTTTTTTAAACATGCGCTTTGTGTGTGCTTCCAAAGGGATGAGTGGGCAGAGGCGATCCAGATGGTGGCAGATAAACTCCAAAGACAGGAAGAGGAACGTATCCAGTGTAGTCCCACCTCACAGATAGACAACTTGGGAGAGGAGGAGATGGACACGTCTATCAGCCACCATAAACGCAAGGTACAGATTCAAATACAGATTTTGATGTTTTCTGGGACATCATTAACCTGAGACATTGAGAAGCTGAAAGGCAGAAACCGGCAAAAAGTTAAATTACGGCTTGTTTCTGTTTGAATGTAGAGTTTGTGTGCTGAGCCTTTTATGTCACATATCACACAATGAACTAAGCAGCAAATGTTGAAAATGCATTTCAAACTTATTTTTCAACATGATCTGTATAAAAGCAACATAAAAGGAAATGAAACCGAGCAGATTCAGGATACACTGTATGAAACGGACTTTACGACTCGGTTGCACAAAATTATGTAACTCTCTCTCTCTCTCTCTCTCTCTCTCTCTCTCTCTCTCTCTCAATAATGTGTTTTAAGGCAGTGTATTTCTGTGAGTTTCATCATTTTTAAACAACAAACTAATGTACAAACATGTCAGTGTGTTGGTGGCAGTGGAGTCTCTGAGCAGCAGGATTACATCCCCACAGCAGAGATGTGGACGTATTCTCATTGAGTTACATTAGCAAAATAGAAATGTAGACCCTAATTACTTGTATTGGGTTTCAGTATGCCTGACAATTTATTGCTTTTTCTTTTTTTGCAGACAATGAATGACTTTGACTACTTAAAACTATTGGGAAAAGGCACTTTTGGAAAAGTCATTCTCGTAAGGGAGAAGGCCAGCGGGAAATATTATGCAATGAAAATTTTAAAGAAAGAGGTTATTATAGCAAAGGTAAGATTCATCATGGATATTTTGTGAATGAATTTCATTTGAAAATGTTTCATGTTTTTTCATTCAGGCATTTTGTGTTGAGTGAGTTAGGTTAATGCCATTTTTAACAGTTATAAAAGTGTACTTTCAATCCCATGATTTGTAATACAATCTCATTATATCCAGGACTCAAAATAATGTGTTCACTGTGAACATCACATACTGTAAGCAAACACAGTTTATTTTACAAACACCTTCTTTCTCTTCCGTAGGACGAAGTGGCCCACACGCTCACAGAAAGCAGAGTACTAAAAAACACGAGACATCCTTTTTTAACCGTGAGTGCACATTTTGTAATGAACTATCATTCAGAGTGGATTTACAGAGACCTTAAAGCTTCACAATGCTTTTGTATATATGATTGCCTTTTCCCTAGAGCCTCATTATAATGTAGAGAATAAACTGTAATAAATTAACGGCCTAAATGTAGCTGTGCATCTGTTGAGAAGTCGCCAGTGAGAGGTAATTTTCTGACACTCCAGATGCTGTTGTATGCCACGCAACATACACAGCAGGTTTAGCAAAAACAATTTACTACTGTCACTCAAGCTGGTGTTCCCTCGTAAACTTCACCTTCCCTCAAAGTTAGCATCAAGGCCTACGAGAAAGAGCAAAGCTTTTCAAAACGCTCCTTTCATTTTCTCTCGAGACAAACACTTCTCTCACTGCATACATTTTGATGAGCATCTCTCACGTTGCGTATGTTTTAGTTTTGTGAGATTTTTGCCTTTTGTTTTTCTTCTAATGGTGTATCCACCTGCTGTTTCAGTCTTTGAAGTACTCGTTCCAAACAAAAGACCGCCTATGCTTCGTGATGGAGTATGTCAATGGAGGAGAGGTACGTGTGTGTCTGCATTTGTTTTTTTTTTGTATGTCTGTCTTATCGTCTGTGTTGGCACTTGGCAGACGATCTATTTCTGTAGTAATGCTGTCACTAATATCTGCTTTCTGTGCGACTGTGGTGAGCTAAAAATGTTAATCTGTTATCAGAGAAAAGTTAAGTGCACGAGAGAAGTGCATGATCATATCTTGTAATACATCCACAGTTTGAAGAGACTTACTCTCATCCTTTGGGAAAATTTGAACTAATATCAAATTATCAGCTAATATTATTAACAACCGATAACAATTATAGTTTAGTAGTAATAGTAATATTTTTTACACAATATTGTTGTTATTATTATTGTTATTAATGTTGTATTTATGCACATTTGGTTTGAAATCTAAATGGTTTAAACATAAATTAAATATTAAATAATATCAACAAATTATTATTATTTATTCCATTATTTTTTGCAACGTTGTTTTGCAATCTAAATGGTTAGAAATGTATTATTATTATTATTGTTTTATGCACATTTGCTTTTCAACTTTAATGGATAAAAACAAAATTAATAAGCAACAATATTATTAGTTGAAATGTATTATTTCTTCCATTATTTTATATTTAAAAACATTTAATTTTTTTTACGTATTTATTTATTTATTTAAATGGTTAGAATGTATTATTATTGTTATTGTTATTATTATTATTATTATTAGTAGTAGTAGTAGTTGTAGTATTCCCTTTTATTCCTTATCATTTTGCTATTTAAGTTTCCATCCTTGTTTTGCACTAGGTGTAAAATTCTTCAGGTTTCTTATTTGTGAATGAATTGCTGTTAGGCCTACATAAAAAGTTTAGTAATTATGCGAACAAAGGACAAAGTGGTTGGACCCGTGAACACAGTTGTTTGCTGTTGATCATAGTGGTGTAATGCTGTTGTTGGGTTCTTTTCTTTAGAGACTTACCAAATGGTACTATTTATCAGTAGACCTGATTACAATTACATGTATAAAAGTGTGAATATCAAAAAAAAATAAAAAAAATATTGGTCTACCTCTAATAACTATTTCAGACTCAAAATGATTGTGATTTTATTGTTGTACGTTTTGGTAAAAGCTTGTAGTTGCTCAGGATGTACTTGGTAGAAGTTTGACAGTGTCGCTCTGTTGATATGGCAGAGCGCAAGATTCCATCTAGAGGGACTCGAGTTTTGATAAATGAAATTCCACCACCAAAGGTGCTGTTTAATCAGAAAAGCAGCAATCTCGCTCTCATTCCCTCAGTCTGCAATGTCACCTGCTCCCCCTGCCTGGTCCAGCCAGAGCCCCTAACCTCCACATGCTGTCTCTCCCCTTTCAGCCTCGCCACATTCACAGCTGCCAGTGCTCTGATGAAGGCACACCTGTCCTCGGCCACCCCGGTCCCCTGCACAACACCCGCTTACCCCCTCCTTCAGCTGATCAGCGGAGCCGTTAGCTCTCCCCGGACAGCCATATTCAAACATCCCACAGCAATTAATAGACAGACTCTCCTCATTGGGCTTCTGGGTAATTTCTATAAGCCAGGTTCAAGTGGTGCTGAGGGCCAGATAGTTGACAGGAACCCTTGACATTGACTCTGGGGGGGCAGAGGGAAGACACTCCATAAAAGCTACGGTAGAGATGATTGCAGGGGACGGGGTGCTCCTGCCACTTTAATGGAGCGTTAGCCCATGAGTACACAGCGCTGCCTTTAACAAGATTGGTGTATTGATTAAAATGCTGATTTAACAGGCCGCGCCGGCCTGTCTCTGGAAAGCCGGGGATGATGTGCCAGCTGCTGTCTGGGTTCGCTGGGCATCCTCTGAGGGCCTCGCCATCTATCATCTCAATATGGCGATGTGAGGCAGTTTGTGTTGTGTTAATTTCCTCCAATAAATCAGTAATTATTGCAATCCTGTCCCTGCTGTTTACCCTGCAGCTGTTTTTCCATTTGTCGAGAGAACGGGTGTTCTCCGAGGACCGCACGCGCTTCTACGGCGCCGAGATCGTTTCCGCCCTCGACTACCTGCACTCTGCCAAGATAGTGTACCGGGATCTCAAGGTAAACAGAAAAAGGGGAAAGAATTCATATATTTAGAGAGAAGGTTTTGTTCAGTCGTGATGCCTTTATCCGAATGGATGTCATGGGACGTGGAAAATGTAATTAAAAGCTCTTGAGTTTGGGGCTTTTTTTCTTTGGTTTTTGGAAACATCAAACTCTGGCGGCTGTGGATGATGACACAGTGTTTTGCTCGCAGCCTTGGACCAAGCCAGTTGTGAAAGTGCCAAGAAACTTGGACAAACAGCTTAGCCATTAAAATTGAAAGGTTAAATTAATGTGGCTTGAAGTTTCTTTCCACTTTCTGGGAATAAATCATTTTTGGTAGTTGTCAACTTTTTTTCCCATCATTACCAACATGAATTAAGAAACTAATAGACTTTAAAAACTTTTCTCGTATTTTTATGTTATTTCACCCATGAGTTCAATACATGGATAAGCCATACGAGTTCATTGTATTATGAAGATGTTTTAATGAAACATGAAATACAGTTAATGACCTTTGCATATTAATACAGGCAGTCTATAAATGAAATGAATTCAATAAATTCAAAGTCAGATTTGAAAAGAACTTGAAGAAGTTTTGTGTTGACTATGGTGTTTCAAAAAAGTCGACAAATTCACACTCTCTTCTTTTTGCCCAGCTGGAGAACTTAATGCTTGATAAAGATGGTCACATCAAAATTACAGACTTTGGCCTCTGCAAGGAAGGAATCACTGATGCTGCTACCATGAAGACCTTCTGTGGGACGCCAGAGTATCTGGCACCAGAGGTAAAGAAACCCCTGATGATTTACAAAACCTGCAACTAGCCCTACAACTGTCAGTATTAATCAGTGGAGCATATGCAGTAGACCATGAACATGCTCAACAATTTTTAAATTACAAATTTATGATTTCAGATAATATCACGAGAGTCAAGTATGGCTAGAATGATTGATTGGTCCTATTTAAAGATTAGCTTTAGATGTCATGACATGGAGTGCCTTGTTGAAGAAAATAATACTTAAAACTTGCAAGTTTAACCATTTGCTTTCTATATAATATTTAGAGCAAAATGAAGAAAAAACACTGAGCATCAATAAAAATCAAGCATCTTAACTACTGTATATAATATAATATCATGGAGTCTATTACTGGAGCCTCTTCAATAGAGAATGCGCATGCGCTCAATACCTCTGAAGTAAACTAACCCTGGAACAAGCTCCGGAGCAAGTTGCTATTGCTACTTGCATAGCCTCAAAGTTACCTCAGGTTTTGGAACCGAAAGTTGAGGTTATTCGCTCACTTTGGGTAAACTTACCAAAGTCGCTTAACCTGCTTTCTGGAATACCCTAAATGGAGAGAGGGATAGCTGCAGGTCGGAGAAATGGGCATGCCGAAAGGTTTCCTATTGGTGAAAGGAGCTTCTTGTGGACAACTGCGTTAGCCAATCAGCATTAACCATACATATTCCTTTAGACTGGAAGAAGATGGCAGTAAGACGCGCTGTGATGCTGTATATATCATAGATATGTATATTAGTTAGGGCTGTCAAATGTTAAATTGGTGCGATTAATTGTTGAAAATATAATTTGTTAAAATGATTAACACATTTAATGCACCCTGACCTGTCTGTTATCTTACATTGCATGCAGTTGCTTAGTGACGAACATCAACATCAGGGCAACGACTGATTCGTGATGAAGCCTATTAGAACGCAGTTATATGCCCCTAAAATTTAAGATATTAAAGCTAAAAAGGCCCCTGTATGGGTTTTTGTCTTATCATATACATCTACAGTATATCTATATCATATGATATAGTTTAGCAATATCACACGAGCAAGAGTGCTGTTTTTTCCCGAATATCTGCACGCTTGCCAATTTAATATTGATTTTAAACATACACAAGAAGTTAATATTGTTACATTTTAGACACAATATTGTCTGTTTTCTCTCCATTTCTCCAATGAAAATGGTTCCAACTAAGCCACAGAGTTGTTGTGCGTCTCCGAGCAACACATCAGTGTTTCATTACTGAATGAATCTGTTTTTTAATGAATCCAGTGAGCCAATGATTCAGTGAACCCATTCATAAAGACAGTCTCACTCACTTCATTCCTGAATTAATCAGCCGTTTAAATGAATTGGTTGCATGAATGACTGAATGACTCATTCATTAAGACAGTGACTTGTATGGAGCTTGAAATGTGTCTTTATTACATGCGAGAAAATAAATGATCTGAGAGAAGAGAGAAAAAGTTATCACACTGATAGCAAAAAAGCATTTCATGAGAGATAAAAGAATATTTGAGAGAAAAAGTTTTCATATAAATAGCAAAAAATAATATTTGAGACTAAAAGTTTTGAGAAAGTATTTTCTCATTGAACATAAAATTTTTTTTTTTTTTTTTTTTTTTCTGAGAAAAAAAATCTCTCTCAAAATACTTAGATTTTTTTTTTTTTGCTATCAGTGTGAAAACATTTTCTCTCTAAAAAAAAGTGTTTCTCTCAAACCGCTTTTCTTTGCTCTCAATGCAATTTTTTGCTCTCGTGTCAGGATTTTGCTTTCACTGTGAAAATTGTGCCATGGGCGGGGCCACGTTCTTTTTTTCCTATTGGAACGTTCCTATTGGCCAGTCGGGTGAGCATCGTCTTGTCTTGGGAGTCGAACTGAATCATTACACCATTGTTCGGTTCACCGTCCTAGATAGATGCCTCCTCTGCCTTAGTTGAGCACGGACACTCCAATGTTTGGGTAAGCTGAAGATGATGACACACACAAGTTCAAGTTCATTTTATTTATATAGCACATTTTATAACAGCCACTGTGACTGACCAAAGTGCTTCACAGAACTACAAAATTAAAAAGACACCAACACCATGCGTAGTAGCACATCATAGAACAGTACAACAGGTTAAGAACAGCTTAAAATGGGAGACATCCAAGAAGTCTCAGAGACTATCAGTAGTAGAAAATAAAACAGAGAAGACAGTAACAGGTTTAATACTAGTATCATACTCTAAGGAGAGAAATATAGAATAGACAAAAAAAAAATAAAAAAAAAAAAAATATATATATATATATATATATATATACACTCACCGGCCACTTTATTAGGTACCCCATGCTAGTAACGGGTTGGACCCCCTTTTGCCTTCAGAACTGCCTCAATTCTTCGTGGCATAGATTCAACAAGGTGCTGGAAGCATTCCTCAGGGAGTTTGGTCCATATTGACATGATGGCATCACACAGTTGCCGCAGATTTGTCGGCTGCACATCCATGATGCGAATCTCCCGTTCCACCACATCCCAAAGATGCTCTATTGGGTTGAGATCTGGTGACTGTGGAGGCCATTTTAGTACAGTGAACTCATTGTCATGTTCAAGAAACCAATTTGAAATGATTAGAGCTTTGTGACATGGTGGAAGTAGCCACCAGAGGATGGGTACATGGTGGCCATAAAGGGATGGACATGGTCAGAAACAATGCTCAGGTAGGCCGTGGCATTTAAACGATGCCCAATTGGCACTAAGGGGCCTAAAGTGTGCCAGGAAAACATCCCCCACACCATTACACCACCACCACCAGCCTGCACAGTGGTAACAAGGCATGATGGTTCCATGTTCTCATTCTGTTTACGCCAAATTCTGACTCTAACATCTGAATGTCTCAACAGAAATCGAGACTCATCAGACCAGGCAACATTTTTCCAGTCTTCAACTGTTCAATTTTGGTGAGCTCTTGCAAATTGTAGCCTCTTTTTCCTATTTGTAGTGGAGATGAGTGGTACCCGGTGGAGTCTTCTGCTGTTGTAGCCCATCCGCCTCAAGGTTGTGCGTGTTGTGGCTTCACAAATGCTTTGCTGCATACCTCCGTTGTAACGAGTGGTTATTTCAGTCACTGTTGCCCTTCTATCAGCTCGAACCAGTCTGGCCATTCTCCTCTGACCTCTGGCATCAACAAGGCATTTCCGCCCACAGAACTGCCGCTCACTGGATGTTTTTTCTTTTTCGGACCATTCTCTGTAAACCCTAGAGATGGTTGTGCGTGAAAATCCCAGTAGATTAGCAGTTTCTGAAATACTCAGACCAGCCCTTCTGGCACCAACAATCATGCCACGTTCAAAGTCACTCAAATCACCTTTCTTCCCCATACTGATGCTCGGTTTGAACTGCAGGAGATTGTCTTGACCATGTCTACATGCCTAAATGCACGTAGTTGCCGCCATGTGATTGGCTGCTTAGAAATTAAGTGTTAACGAGCAGTTGGACAGGTGTACCTAATAAAGTGGCCGGTGAGTGTATATCCACATATACACCCATATATATAGATACATACACACACATATAAGTACACATATACACACATATATACATGTACATGCACCTTATTTGTAGGCCAAAGCGAACAAGTGCGTTTTTAAAAGTGACTTAAAAGAAATCACAGAAGGGGCTATCCGAACGTCCAAGGGCAAATTGTTCCACAGCCGAGGCCCAACCACAGAAAAGGCTCGATCCCCTCTACGTTTAAGTCTGCATTGAGGGACTTGTAACAGATTTTTTTCACCTGATCTCAGACTTCTTGACGGCGTGTAAGGTTGAAGCAGTTCAGTTAGGTGGGTAGCAACTCGATGGGTAGCTGGCTGAGCAAGTTCAGCATCACTGAAGATTAAACATTAAAAAATAGCACTCATGCAAGTTTACCTAGCACGATGGCTAATTAATAATAATTAGCTTTACTAGCGATTAGCAAGCTAATCATATAATACACATTCATTCATGAATATGAGTGCTATTTTTAATGTTTAATCTTCAGTGATGCTGAACTTGCTCAGCCAGCTAACATCCAGTTGTGTGTGTCATCATCTTACCCAAACATTGGAGTGTCCGTGCTCAACTTAAAGCTTAGATCGGGCCCAAAAAATCAAGCCCGACCCTACCCGAGCCCGTGCACGTTGTGTCCGAGCCCGGCCCGACACATTTATTATAAATTATAATTATGAGCCTGAGCCCGATTTAAACCCGACCATTTTAATACATGGGTCGTTATAACTGACGTTCTCAACTTTCCATGTTACTTTCTCCTCTTCCTCCTCTGTTCTGGACCTCCAAATACTTTCAAGTTAGCCTACGTGTCGCCATCATACACATCAGCATAAATGCTCCTGATAAATTATTTGTTATTAAAGCATTAACACACAAACCACTTTTATAACATAAAATCAAGCAGGCTACTGCTTGCATTGTTTGGCATGACTGAATGCTCGCAAAGTGCGCTTAAAAATTCCTAAAGCTGACATCAGTTCATCGCGATCTCACACATCTCTGTTATTATCAATGAAGCTGATTGCACAATGATTCTTTCATACACTTTGTTTGTTATAATTCGAGGATTTGCCAGCATACAGAATTCAGCTCTGAACAAAAAGTCCGTTTTGAGTTTTGAGTGGTGAGGGGAGTCTATCTTGAATGCTTCTGATTGGCCATTGCGTTCAAGAAATCAACACATATGTCTGTGATTGGCTACATCGCTCAACGCTGCAAACATGTTATAAAAGGAAAAACTGGCCTGTAAATCATTTGTATTTTGTTGTAGTGGTTCTTGTTGCTTTTCTGCAACGGACAGATGAACAAAAATGTATTCGTTTTTGTATGTTTTATTCATAGATATTTCTAGTTTGCTGGAGTCCCACGAATCGTTTTATTCTCCCTGAACCCTCACACACAGAATGAGTGCATTACAGCCCGCGCTCGCACTCGGCCATCAAATCTAGTCCCACGCCGCAC